AAAAAAGGTGCCCTTGAGTTGAGACTTTAGAGTTGAGGTTCTCTACCTTTTGATCTTTTTAGCACAAGATTTAAACTTAAACTTAAACTTAGATAGTTTATTTGTTTGTTCATTATATAATTGTAGTTAGGTCAAACATTCAGACAAGTTGAATGTCAGATTGTTATGGTTAAGGGGTGAGAAAGGTACCTAGGGTATGGGTGTAAAATTGTGTTTGTGTTGTATTATTGTATTTTCTATTGTTTGTGAGGCTAAATTTTATTTTTAGTACACTATGTTGGTCATTTTATGAAAATAGTCTATCATGTAGGGTGTCTTCAAAAATAGTCTATTAAGTTGTCATTTTAATCAAAACTCGTACAAAAGCCAACATAGTGTACTAAATATGGCAGCTAAAAATGATCACTTTTAGTACACTATGTTGGTTATTAACGAATTTTGATTAAATTGGTAACTTAGTAGACCATTCTTGATGACAACTTAGATGATGGATCTTTTTCAGAAAATGACCAACATAGTGGACTATTTTTGTAATTTTTCCTTGTTTGTGATACAAAATTCAAATTTAAATGTTTTTTTTTCTGTCGTATCATATTGTGTTCATCGTATTATTTATTTCAATATTTGTATTTTGTAATTGTGTTATATTCTTGCTTTTGTGTTTTCCAATTGTGTTATGTTCCTCGAGCCGTATCAGACAATTATGTAATATACATTTTGTATTTCAAAAAATCAATTTCTTTTAAACATGAAATAATTGCTACTACTACATTGGTAGCATTAAGAGCTGTCATATAACCCCTTGGACCAAATTTTTAGAGTTTACTTGAACTTTCATAATAAAAAGTAGGTATTAGGAAAATAATTTAGATTGGACCATATAAAAGCCAATTGCAAAATCAGAACCATTCGAATTCAATATGACATTTGGGTTTTGACTTTTAACTCTGAACTTTGAAGTGATTGTCTTAAGAAATAATGGAAGGAAATTGAGAACGATTTTTTTTCTTCTCAATATTATCTCTTTGCTTGAAAATGAAGCAACAGTTTATTCCTTTTCTCCTTTTTATAGTTGTCCATGTTAAATCACATTACCTTTTTCAAATTTGCAATTTTTTAATCTACCAAATTAATAAACAATCTTTGTTAAATATTCCAAAGCCAAATTTATCATATTAATAACACACACTTAATTTGGTCAAAAAGAGATAAATGTAGGTCTTGTTTAGCACATACGAGACAACAAACAGTAAATATTTTACTAATTACATAATAGCGGATAATTTATTAAGTTTGCAGATTTTAACCAGTGATTGAATTAGCGGATTATACATACTATTTGGTAAATAATCATCTATTAATATGTAAAATTAACTAAAACTACAATCAATTATTCTAAAAGAAAAATGCTCCTATATTCATTTTGTTTTTCTTTTTATAGAATTAACATTTTGAATCTAAAATCCTATTTGAGACCACAACTCACCTAACAATAATTAATGTTCGGGTCAAACCTCTAATTTATTCTTAAACTTCTAATTCGGCTAAAAAAAAGGTAATTATAAAACAAGTTAATAAACTACAATCCATTTTATTTTTAAAAGTTAATGCTTAATTTTCTTATATAAAATAAAATGTTTAATTAAATATTGACACACAATTAATTATTTAATTAATCCCATTGCTAACGTGGCACAAACCAAGCTTCTCATCATCTCATGTTTCAATCAAACACAGCCTCCGCCTTCTATATTTTGAATTTTTTTGTACCGTTGTCTCTATTTCTTCTCTCTAAAACACGCAGTTCACACACTAACGTTCTCTCGAAACACACTCGCCGCCGGAGAGCATACTCTTGCCCATCACTCCAAAATTTGATCAATAATTTGCAGATCCTTCTTGTGGTTTTTCCTAATTTTGTTAAGCGTTTATGTTATGTGCGAATTCTGGTTTTGGATCTGCGAATGCGCGCTGAGGTGATCGGTTGGAATTCGAGCATTTTCCGTCTTTTGATCGAAATTTTCCGAGCTAGGTCCGGTGAGTTTCTTGGATTTCATCGAGTTGAGGCTTCGAGTGTTAAAGCTGAGTTTTTTTTTGGGTTTTTTTTTTGTCCGTGACTAGCGCCGTTTGGTTAGTAGGAAGGATATGGATTAAGAACCCTAGATTAGGAGGAGCTGCTGATTTTGATGTTATGAATATGGTTTTAGTATTTAATTGTGTGGAGTGTGTTGATTGTTTAGGTTACTTCCTTTTTATTTACCTAGAATTCTTCACTTTTTCTTTGATGTTTTTTCTCGTTTGTACATTGTTGTCAATACACGTTGCTTGCTTGACTTGAGCTTTTTGTAGCTACCTTCGTTTTGTTTGGCTGTCTAGTCGTGGCTTTTGTGACTTACTGAAGTGAATTAATCAAGCCATTTCTGTTTGAAGAAATACTTAATTTCACCATTTTTTCCACAATCCTCATTTTAATTATTCTTCTTCTTATTCTTCCCCATTTTCCTTTCAATTTTGTCTTTCAATTTTCAAAAGAGATATCTTTTGTTGTTTCGAGGGAGTATTGGGTATTAAGAAAAACACGCGAAATTTATTGGCATCCTGCAAGAATTTCGTTATAGGTTGTTCCCATGTTAAATTTTCCTTTTATCTTCTTATTTTTATTTGTTCTTTGGTTTGTCTTAAACTTTTTGGACCATAAATTGGAGTTTAATTAGTGGTAGGTAGTATTGAGGTTGTGGACAGTTACTTTGGAATACAGCTATTGGAGTTTGAAATTTGAGATTTGTGTTTCCCCACACAATTATAGTTATGTATTAATGATGTTCATGTATATGGATTAGTTTAAATTTCAAACTATAAGTGCCGACGAAAATATTGAATTCTTTTAAACGTACCGCTCATCAACCAAAAAGGTATGTTTTCCGCAATTTAATGCGTCCAACACGTATTCAAGGTGTTTATTGTGAGACCATCGATTTTATAATTATAACAAGCTTCCAACTTTTGGTTTCTTGAAGGTAGACCCCCAGATTAAGTATAACACTAAGTTGATCCTTATTGAGTGTGTTTAGCTGGGTATTGCTTGCAATTATGCATTTTATGGATCCTGACTCTTGCCTTCTCTGGCTTTTATATTTCTTAGTCGTTGATTTCATCCTGGATTGGTAGCATATAATGATTTGGGGAAGACGCTCGGGAGAACATTGCCAACGAGTTGGAATTGGCATATTCATATATTTGTCCTGTAAATATGGACAGTGATAGGACAAGCAACAACACCCTGTCAGATGGTGCTAGAAATGGTATACGAAGAGCTCGACCTTTACATGGGTAAGCTGTTTGAAAACATCAAATGCCAATTCTTTTAGTATGTGTATCAGTTGTTTAAATGTGATACGAACAATTATGAGAAGGTGACATGATATTTGATCTTTACTTTGCCTGTATGTGTATTTGGGTAAAACTTGTATTGGGCAGAACAAAGTGTTTCCTCTTTTTTCTTACACAATTCTGAGTCAAAATGATCGTTGCAGGCTGAATACACTTTTAGCCGTGTTATTTGACATGACTTTTCCATACTTTTTGAGCAGGAGAACAAGTGGCCCAACACGGCGTTCTACAAAGGGACAATGGACAGCGGAAGAGGTTAATCAGAACTCTTTCCGCTGTTGTATATAGACATTTATAGTTAGCAACATATGTTTATAAAACTTTTTTGTACAGCAGGAAGGTGGTTTTAAATTTTCGTGTATATATAAACTTTTTTCTACAGCAGGAAGATGGTATTAGTTTTTGTATATATATTAAAATGGTGATGTGAATAATTTACTTTTCTGATTTATTCCAGGATGAGATATTGCGAGTGGCCGTGCAACAGTTCAAAGGAAAAAATTGGAAAAAGATAGGTAAGAAGGAATTAAGGCCCTTTGTTATTTATTTGTTGTTGCAGGTGAAGCACATATCATATCCTCAACTAGAATTTCGAATTCCAAAGGTTCTGTTTTTGTCGATTTAGTTGTTAATTTTAATTTCTGTTGTAAAATTTAGCGGAACGTTTCAAGGACCGAACAGATGTGCAGTGCTTACACAGGTGGCAGAAAGTTCTCAATCCAGATCTTGTTAAAGGTCCATGGTCTAAAGAGGTCAGGAAAGTTTTTTGTATATCCTCTTGTTATATGTCATCGATACGAATCTGAGATCCAATCTAATTAGTGTTTATTATTTGTGAATAGGAGGATGAAATAATAGTTGAAATGGTGAAGAGATATGGGCCCAAAAAGTGGTCTACAATTGCACAGCACCTTCCTGGCCGTATAGGAAAGCAATGCCGAGAAAGGTAATCTTGCTAGAACTTCCATTTATTTATACATGCAGTTCAAATTTCTCCATTTTAAGAAATGAAATTTTATGAGCATTAAATGTGTGTACCAGTTTTCTTTAAGATTGTATTTTTACGTGTCTTGCCGAGAAAGGTAATCTTGCTAGTGCTTCCATTTATAATATGCAGTTCAAATTTCTCTATTTTAAGAAATGAAATTTTACAAGCCATTAAATGTATTCAATGTGTGTACCAGTTTTCTCTTTTAAGATTGTAATGCCAATTCACGGGTGGATTTCATTCATTGTTTCAGGTGGCACAATCATCTGAATCCCAACATAAACAAAGAACCCTGGACACAAGATGAGGAGTTGGATTTGATTCGTGCCCATCAAATTCACGGCAACAAGTGGGCAGAGTTAACTAAGTTTTTACCTGGAAGGTAAAAGTTAAGAGTTTTCACTTCTCACACGTCGTTTGTCTCTATATTCACTTATTTGATAACCTTTTCAGTATATATTCATTTTAATTTTTTTTGTTCAGAACGGACAATGCAATAAAAAATCATTGGAATAGTTCGGTCAAGAAGAAACTAGACATGTATTTAGCTTCGGGATTGCTCTCTCAGTTCCAAGGTCTTCCGCTCGTCCCACATCAGTCAGCAGCTGCTTCATCCTCCTTAAAGGCTCCACAAAGCAGTGAAGAAGATGATAGTGTCGTTAAAGTCGGACTGGAATTAGAGGAAGCATCTGAGTGCAGTCAATCTTCAGCTTTGGCCTCGATATCTAGGCCCACTAATAATAACACAGTAGCACCACGAACAAATGCAACTGAAGAATCGAACCCAATTCCTCCGACCTCAGAAGATTACCATCCCCCGTTTCAAGAAGATGTGTTTGCCGAACAATTTCCTGAAAGTGGGCTCTCTCTGGATTGGGGTGCTTTCATGGGGAAAAACTGGCAATTTAATCCTAATGAGTTACCAGACATGACATTGCTTGACCTGGGCCAAGATTCCGGAATGTTCTTGAGTAATAACCACGACGCATTACCTCCACAAGAACCTTCTGTGCCAGAAGATATTATTATTAAAGACGTCAAACGAGAAGAAGATCCATTACTATTTCATTCTTCCAAATTTCAGATAAATGAAGACGACACGACTTTCGGGCCACAATTGTTTTACCTGCCACCCGATTTGCTGGCCAGCTCTTCTTCTTTCACTCAATCTGTCCCATTTCCCGATCAAATTCCTCTTGCCGACGAGACACTCGCTTTCGGCAACAATCCAAATCCGTATAATAACTCTTCGCAAGCAAATATACCCGATGGATTTATTTGCCCCAAGGACTCGGATAACAACTCCAATAATGAGCTCAAAGAGTCGCCTAAACTCGTCCCAGCTAATGATTTTTTCCTGCCACCACCGAACGATGAGCAAAAAGAAGACGAGCAAAAGGACTCGGGAGGGAGCCTATTTTACGAGCCGCCACGTTTTCCGAGCTTGGACATACCGTTCTTCAGCTGCGACCTCGTGCCACCTGGCGGCGACACTCATCTGGAGTACAGTCCGCTCGGCCTCCGCCATGTAATGGCTTCCTTTCGGATGTGGGACTCACCATCTAGGGATGAGAATGGTTGTTTTAGTCCGGATGCTGTCTTAAAAAGTGCCGCCAGGACTTTTACCGGAACGCCCTCGATTGTGAAGAAGAGGCACCGGGACTTGGTGTCCCCCTTGTCGGAAAAAAGGGTCGAGAAGAAGAAGCAGGAGCAGTTTTCTTTGGGCTTGGATGGGAATTTCTCTCGACTTGAGGCTATGTTTGATGAGTGCATGGGTAGAGAGAATGAAGCCCCTGAGGAATGTTTGGATGAGAGAGTTGAAAAGACTGCACTAACCGATGACCGGAAAACGAGTGGGGATAACGATAATGATGCATTGGAAATGGTTAGTAGTAGTTTCTCATTTTTATGTGCTAGTGAATTCTCATTTGACTCGAGTATGGCTCGAGTTAAGTTAACATCTTTTTTGGTTTGTTATACAGGGGAACGAGTTTTCTGGAATCCTTGTTGAGCAGAATATGAATGACATGACATTCTTTTCCCCTGATCGTTTTGAAGGCAAGGCAGCAGATAGATCTATTGGTCTAATAAGTGCCCGAGCTCTTGGGAAACAAGGTACTCGAAGAGTGGACTCGAGTATTTCTGTCCTTTGTTCTCCTCGAGTGTGTGCCAAGGGCGACGGGACCAATTTGATCATAGCTACAACATCTCTTCAATCCACAAGTCCCGAGAATAAAGTCAAAAATTCGGGCAAAGGCATAGCATCCGAAAACAATAGTGGTGGCATGTAAGAAGATTGCAAATATTTTGTCCTTATACTAATTTTCACCATCATTCCTTTTTGGCAGTGGCGATAGTATTTTTTTTTTTTTGTTACCTTTACAGATTCATAGACACACCATTCAAGAGGAGTATAGAATCTCCTTCAGCTTGGAAGTCCCCTTGGTTCCTCAACACTTTTGTTCAAGGCCCCAGAGTCGATACCGACATAACAATCGAGGTTTGTAAATTACATTGACATTGAGCTAGTTGAAATTGCTGCCCTTATCATTCTTCAAAATATATATTCCTCATTGTACTATTGCATCCTTCAATTTTTTTCAAGTTCTCCAAATAACCAGACAAAAGGTCGACGCTGTATGTAATTTCGTAATTAATTGAGATGTGGAAAATTACCCGACATCAGGGCAACATGTAAGATATACACAAAACCTGATAAAATCGTTTCTTGTTTTTTATCCCGAATACCCTGAACTTCATCAGGGGTAGTTGCTGTAATTATCCCTCAAATTATTTCACATTCTCTCTGTATCCATATTATGCATCTGATGATACTAAGTGTTGTTTTTGCAGGACATTGGCTACTTCCTGAGCCCTGGAGACAGGAGTTATGATGCGCTCGGGTTAATGAAGCAGTTAGGAGAGCAGACTGCCGAAGCATTTGTGGATGCCCAGAATGTTTTGGGAGATGAAACTCCTGACACAATAATGAAGGGAAAATGCTTCGTGGACCGACAAGCAGCAGACAAGGAGAATCATCATTGCAGCCCGAGCTCTAACCAAGACCTTCCCATTTCAGCTTCCAATTTTACGGTACGCGGTTTGTTAACAACTTCTTGCACCACGTATAATAAAAGCTTTTCTCTCATGTTTAGTTAAGCGTATGTCATATCCATATGCAGGAAAGGCGAACGCTCGACTTTAGCGAATGTGGAACGCCTGGAAAGGAAACCGGGAAGGTGTCGAGCGGAGTAGGTTTCTCGACTTCGTCTGAGTATTTGTTGAAAGGTTGCAGGTAGATGGAGAAGGCATTGCCAAACCATCCCATTGTCTTTTTTTTTTCTCTGTCCGTACGTGTGCCTTTTCCTCTTTACCTTATGTNGTTTATATTTGGAGAAAATTTTAGCTACAAAAATTGAAAAATTACAATTATGATCGTGTTAAATATATATATATGTGTGGCATATTTTGTGGTGTATGGAAACTGTGAACTTTGAATTTCATTCAATTGATTGTATCATTATTTTATAGTTCCTTTGTTCTCGTTCTACTCAAACAATTCAATAACTTCAAAGCACAAGAAATAGAAAATTGAAAACTTGAGTAGTTCGTACGCAGTATCTTAGGATACTCTCAGGAGAACTCAAGTCCCGTTCATTATTCGACTTACAAGGCAAAAAATGGCGCTCTAAACAAGTGCAGGATAGACTAAAAACGCAAGTACATAATTTCGCTCGACATGAAGGGTAAAGCCGTAAATTGGTCCAACATTTATTCGTACATCACGTCACCTTCAAGAAGTACACTATTACAAAAACCAGTGGAGAAAAAGAGGAAGAAGATGATGTGAAATCAGATTTAATTTGGCAAAGTGACAAACTCACTCAGGCTGATTTTGTCACGGCAGCATGTATGGCATCCGCTAGATGTGGCACTGTTCTCGAACTCAGACCAGCCATGCTTATTCGCCTAACGTCAAAATTATTAGCAGTAAAGGAAAAAAAAAAGTGTCAGTTTGGTTGAAAACATATAAAGTTTAGGAGTTGAAAAACCGTAAAAGTTTTGGAATTACCCATCAGAGGTCATGTAAATGTGGTATTCCCGAGTCATGAAGGCCACTTGCTCCGAGTTAAGTCCAGTGAAGGTGAACATGCCAATCTGCTTGATGATGTGGCTCCAGTCACCAGGTGTACCTGCAAAATTTGATAAACATAATAAAAAAACGAGTGCGTTTCCAAATAGCTATAAAGTTATGAGTTCAAGGATAAGTCGAGTAAAAAAGAAAAGGCAAAATTGCATTTTTAGTCGTGGTGGTTCAATGCCATAGGAATTTTAGTCCCAAGGTTTCAACATTTCAGTTTTTAGTCATGTGATTTAATGTTTTGCTGCAATTAAGTCCTTGGAGGACTGAAATTGCAATATATTTCTAATATAATGATTTTCGATTAGCAATTTAAGTTATGTAATTTAAAATTTTATGCAATTTTGGTCATGTAATTTAATATTTTGTTGCAATTTCAGTCCCAAAAGACTGAAATTGCAGCAAAATATTAAATCAAATGACCAAAAGATTAAATGTTGGAACCTTGGGACTAAAATTGCTATGGCATTGAACCAATAATTCTAAAAAATGCATTTTTACCAAAAGAAAAAGGCTATCTCAAATGGTTGGTTACCTCGCTCACATAAAGCATCAAACAGTTGCTGGCGCATGCTGATGATACGGTCAGCCATAGCCTTCAGCTCGATTGTCCATTCTTCAAACATTGCTCTACAGGATATATTATTGACCACAAACTATAAATTTTCAAACTAGTTATCTCCAAGTTTCTCGATCGATTTGGTTTTCATGTTGCTAATATTTGTTACCTTACAAAACCGCAAAAGATGGGGAAGTGTTTAAATACCTGTCCTTCAGGATCGTTGCTACAATTGATGCCCCGTGAATGGGAGGGTTTGAGTACATGGGGCGGATAACTAATTTCAGCTGACTCTCTACCCTGCTTGCCACATCAGCAGTCCTGCAAACCTGGAAATTTGAAAAGAATTTGAGCATTTTCATCGATCTGCATTATTTTATTGAGCCATGGAGATTACACTAGGATCAACTTAAGTGACTGTGCTTTATAGCAAGTTGATTTTCAACTAGTCAGACAAGAAAAAGATCTGTAACGGCAAAAACAAACAAACAAATCATTCGAAAAGATCTGTACTCCCATTTCCTTGATTTATCAATGAGAGTAATATCATTTTCTCACACGAGCAGACGAAAAAGAGTGAAACCTCAAAAAAATAACATACAGAAATGAATGTCCGGAAATAACAGAAGAATCCTTAATATTGCAAACTTACAATGCTCAGAGCGCCAACTCGCTCCCCATAAAGCCCCAAATTTTTAGCATAACTTTGAGCGATAAGGCATTCACCTCCGTCATTTACAAACATCCGAACTGATTGTGCATCTGCATCCAGGCTTCCACTAGCAAAACCCTAACGAGGTAAAAGTAAATAGAATTGAATACCAATGAATAACAACTTTTGGCACACATTAAATTAGTCAATTTCTCAGATTTTGGAAAAGAATGCAAAAGTTAGTACTGTTTACCTGATAAGCACTATCAAAGAAAGGTAACAATGCCTTTGATCTCATAAGCCGTCTTATCTGCTCCCACTGTTGAGGGGTTGGGTCAACACCAGTCGGGTTATGAGCACATGCATGAAGAAGCACAACTGCTCCTTCTGGAGCAGATCCAAGGTCCTCCAACAAGCCTGTAATTTCGTTAAAGAAAACCAAGATTAAAGAGAATATGGACTTGCAGCTGGAGAAATTTAAAACTATTGTGAAATATAAAAATATCAATTATGCTAATAAGCCTGCTAACAAAACAAAGTGCTTTCTCAGCCAAATCTATATCTCGCACTATATTTGACACGTCTTATAGATTGGAAATGTTAATATTTCGTTGCCTCACATTCATAAAAAAAGGAATTTGCCACTTTTTCGCGGAAACCTATATATTTCAAGCTTATAAGAAAGCAATAATTGAACCTTCAAAATCTAGTCCACGTGTAGCTGGACTGTAATAGCGGTAAGTCTTTACTGACAATCCTGCCAAATCAAAGACTTTTATGTGGTCTGCGGGATATAGATGGTATGCTGCAAACCCAAGGACAAAAAGTTCAGCATCTCAATATTTTTGTATGCTGCTAAAACAAAAAGGAGGAAAATTGAATATAATGATAGAATAAAAAATTATAGAACTTACTTGGTGATAGTGACGAGCCAAAAATTCACCTCCAACTCTTAAAGAGCCTGTACCAGACAAGCACTGGACGGTGGTCACCCTGTTTTCTTGGATAGCAGGGCTATTTCCAATCCAAGAAAAGGAATTGTGAACCAATTTCCAGGTGGAAAGTAAAAAAAACAAAGACCAAATTCAATATTACCAACCGTTTGATAGATTATTTAACCTCATAAATATATGAAATAGGGGAGTGAGACTGTAAAAGAGGGTATTTTTGGTGTCTCTTCTCAATTAAGTTAAATCAAAATAAGTGTTAAACTTCATTATGTAAGAAATAGAGATAAGATTTCAATCTAAGAGATTCAACACACTGTGATTTATAAAATATAATACCTGTCAGTACCGAGTATGAGTTTTGCACTCAACTTGTTGAAATCTGCCAATCCAACAATTGGAAGATACTCCTTCACACGAGAGCTGCACATGAATCAACCTCAGCTCTTTCCAAATTCTAGTTCATTAAAATTTGATATATTGGATAGTAATAAGAGGATATTAAACCTGTCATTCACTATAATCTGCTCTGCTTTTCTCACAACATTCAAAACGAGAGGCTTTCCTTCCTGTTGCACATATGTAACAAATAAAATCAACCTAAATGACTGAAACTCGCATAATAAAATCACGTAATAAAGGAAAGCACAGAAGATTCACCTCCGTTCGGTATGCACCAACTCCCAAATTCAACTTCACTGGGCTTTGGTCTTTGTTATAAGCAACAGTGACCTGATTTTAAAAAACTTGTCCAGATTCATATTATTCATTTA